AATTGATAAAGATTCCCGTTGTAGAATATATTATATATAAAATTGATTATGAGATTCTTTTGAAAAAGATCGAAAAGATATAAGTGTCTGTACTGTTTTGTAAATCAAGTGCACAAATCAAGGCTAGGAACAAAGGAGAGGGCAAGAAGTTAAAGTGGAAAATATTACGGAGAAAAAAGTGTAGCAAAAAAATTGGCGTGAAATGTGATATCTGTACAATGAGATTCAACGTTACAAAAAAATAAGGCGGAATGTCAAAGGCGCTGATATCCCCCCGTTGTAACAACGATGGTGACGATGAATCGGGAGCAGGATCGAATTTTCGATTTCTTATTCTTTTGACTGCTCGAAGGCGGCTCCGGATTCCGAAATAGCATATGACTTCGTCCACCGGCGTGATTCATAGCCCGTGATCCAACTAGCAGTTAGCTGCCGATGCGAGTCTATCAGCTGTGTGTAATCAGCTAGCGAGGAAAAGGAGAGAAGCCACGGGAGAAAAGGAGATAAACGGACAGAAAGAAAAGATACGAGATTCACAATCGTCTCGCTAAAAATACATGCATAACGTAACGTGCAGTCTGCAAGAAACTCGTTCGTTTTCTATTCCGCTGTAATCTATTATAAGGTAATTATTGACGCGGCGATGAATAAGTCGAACAACCGTAATGTTATGTCATGTCTCCTCGAAAATGTAAAAAAACGTTTTTTTATAATAATTTGCTGAGTACAGGCGTACGCGAAATCGGCGAGCGAATGATTTTGGGATAACGTCACGCGACGGTTTCTTGATTACAGAGATATGGATTTAATAACATTATTAATCTTTATTTATGTCTTGTAAAGGAAGTCAACATTTTTAATTGTATATACTTCCCGTGTCTTTCTGCACTTCTTGGAAATATAATATTAATCGAGTGTATATTTTGAGTGAAGCTTCTTTTCAGGCAAAGCTCATTTAAAATTAGCTGAACAAGATTTTATTGTCCTTTAGGTATTCTGAAGATATTCTTTATTAAATCTTCGTAGTTGTTTACGATCCATCAAAGAAACTACTCCTCTCTCATTTTTATTGCGGAAATATCATTTCCGTTTTCAATAGCGAGCAAACATCACGACATGTGCATACATGAATCGCACTCGATATTGAACTCTGTGTTTACGATTTTTGCTCAATGTTAATTAAAAAGGCTTTCATATATATATTTTTACG